ATTTATACAACTAATTTATTAATTTATATACACAATTTTTTGCTGCTTTTAATAAAATAATTCACTACATTTTTTTCAGTAAGTAATTCCTCTAAGCAAATAATCCGCAATATTCCCTGATATACTTTACAAAATTTAATCATTTTTTATTTTTATAATTTCTAATTTATTAAATAATATATATATATATATATATATATATATATATATATATATATATATATATAATTTAATATAGATATAATTAGATAAAGCTTATTTTGTGACCAAACAATTGATAATATTTACGATTTATTGAACCAATTCGTAAATGAGTCAATCTATACTATAATTAAAAACAAAATCCTATTTACTTGATTTCCCACCCAAACAATAGTAAATAGTAAAGGTAAATTTTAAAAAAAAGAATGGAAAAAAAGAACATAAATATTTCACAATAATATTCTACATCATCCATTAAAAATGGAATGGAAATTAGGTAAACTGAAAAAATAACTGAATATTAATAATTGACTGAAAATTAAAAATGAAAAAAGGAACATAAATTAGGTTAATTGAAAAAGGAAATAAATATTTATAATTGACTAAAAATAAAAAATGACCCATAATTGACTAAAATGGAAAAAGGGAAATAGTCAAATTATTACATTTTAATTTTTTACAATAATATTACACAATATAGTACATCAAACCATAATTATGTCATAAATCTTTCACAATTTTAAAAATGGAACAGAAATATTTCAATAATAATATTTTACATCATCAAGTAAACGTAAATTAAAAATGAAAAGAAAATATTTAAATAACAATATTCTACATCATCAATAATAAAGGCATATTCTAATCAATAATAAAGTTAAATTAAAAATGCAATGAAAATTAAAAATGAAACAGAAATATTTTAATAATAATATTCTACATCATCAATTAAAAATGGAACGAAAATTGGGTAAAATATCACTACATCTGATATTCTAATTGACCAATTGACTGAAAATAAAAAGAATAATTGGCTGAAAATGAATATGATATTACTAATTAACTGAAAATATAAAATGAAATGAATATTAATAGTTGACTGCAAATAAAAAATGATCTATAATTAACTAATATGAAAAAAATAAATGGTTAGTTCATTGCATTTTAATTAAAAATTGATGGAAACTAAAAATTGACGGAAATATTTCAACAATAATATTCTACATCATAGATAATAAAGGCATATTTTAAACAATAATAAAGTTAAATTAAAAATGCAACGGAAATATTTCAATAATAATATTATACATAATCAATTAAAACTCGAACGAAAATTAGGTAAAAATATCATTGCATATGATATTCTAATTGACTAATTGATTAAAAATAAAAAAAGAATAATTGGCTGAAAATGAATATGATATTACAAACTTACTTAAAATATAAAAAAAATCCATAATTGACTAATATTCTACAATTATATATTTTCACTCGAGTCACCCATCATGATGGACTGAAGGTGTTAGCTATAGATGATGATGGACAAGATTGTGTTGCTACTACCAATGTCGAAAGATGTTTCAATAATGTGTACATACAATCGTTGATATTTTTTTAAAATGACAAATTTGCTATATATCTAGACAAAAAAATATATATCTTCCATACAAATGAATTAAGATAGTAATTCATTCCTATAACTGAGTTGCTTGAGAATGAGCACATTTGACTAATTTATTAAAAAAAAAATACTAAAAATGATAAATAAAATCTCCAAAATTACAGCACCGCATGCGTACATCTACACATTAGCTATTAATTTGAGCAATTATTTGCTCAAATTTAAGCAATGATAACATCAAAACACATAGATAATCCAAACCATATGTTCAATTGCACTATATAATATTTGATGTTCTAATTTAAATAATTATATATTGATCTAAATATTCTTAATATATTACAACAAATCCATTCTGTGCATCGAACGGGTGAAAATACTATTATTCTAATAATTTTTTCTTTCCTTCTTTGGTGTAATTACTATGCTAATGTATTTAAATATTGAAAGAGAATTCTATAAAAAGGATCCTTAACTCACTAAAATTCTATATTATTCTTAAAAACTAAACCCCCATTTCTTACTTACCCGCCCAAACAATAAAAAAAAAAAAATTACCAATTAATAATACTAATAATAATTATCAAAAAAGTTTGTAGTAAAATAAAAAAAAAATATCCTTAATTCACAAAAAAATAGAAAAAGAAACGGGATTCACTAATTAATTAAAACTAACAATAATTAGTAAAAAAAAGATCATTAATTCACTAAAAATGAAAATATAAACGGAATTTACTGATTATGACTAATAATAATTGGTAAAAAAAAAATAAAAAATGAGTCTTAATTCAATGAAAATGGAAAAAAGAAACGTAAGGGTGTGAAAAAAAAATCATAATAAGGATAACAGTAAAAAAAAAAAAGAAAATTCTATCAAAAATTAGAATAATAAAAAAAGTTTCTTAATTCACGAGAAATAGAAAAGGAAATGGAATTTACTGATTAATTAATAGTAATAATAATCAATCAAAAAATTAGCAGTAAAATATGAAGAAAAAAAAAGATCCTTGTTTCACTAAAAATGGAAAAATAAACGAAATTTACTGATTAATACTAATAATAATCAGTAAAATTGAAAATAAAAAAGGATTCTTAATTCAATGAAAATGAAAGATTTTTTTTTTTTTTTAAAAAGGGGTCATAATAAAAATAACAGTAAAAACAATCTTACAAAAAAATTGAAAAAAAAAAAGATTCATAATTTATGAAAAATAGAAAATGAAATGGAATTCACTGAATAATTAATACTAATAATAATCAGTAAAATTAAAAGTTAACATTAAAATAGAAAAATATAAAAGGATCCTTAATTCACTAAAAATAGAAAAAGAAACGAAAATCACTGATTAATACTAATAATAATAAGTTAAATAGGTAAATATAAAAAGATTCTCAATCTATACCATTATTAAAAAGAAAATCATTCTTCCTTACTTTCACACCCAAAACAATAGAAAAAGAAAAAAAATCTATAATATAATTAAAAACAAAATTCTATTTACTTGATTTATCGCCCAAACAATAGTAAATAGTAAAGGTAAATTAAAAAAAATGATGAAAAAAAGAACAAAAATATTTCACAATAATATTCTATATTATCAATTAAAAATGGAATGAAAATTAGGTAAATAAATAAGTATCTGTTCAAACATATTTTCTCAACCAACACCTTCACTAAGGCTAGATCTCATGTTCAAACATATTTTCTCAACCAACACCTTCACTAAGGCTAGATCTCATGACTTCCCACATAAGAGAGGTCACTACATGCCATCTGAGCACAAGGTGTTTGGCAACAAACATTAGGTTAATTGAAAAAGGAAATGAATATTAACAATTGTTTGAAAATAAGAAAAGATTCATAATTGACTAAAATAGAAAAAAAAACGGTCAGATCATTGCATTTTAATTTTTCACAATAATATTACACAGTATAATACATCAAATCACAAGTATGTCATAAATTTTACACAATTTTAAACAATAGAATGGAAATATTTCAATAATAATATTCTACACTATCAAGTAAAGGTAAATTAAAAATTGAAAAGGAAATACTTCAATAATAATATTCTACATCATCAATACTAAAGACATATTTTAAACAATAGTAAAGGTAAATTAAAAATGTAGCGAAAATTAAAAATGAAATGGAAATGTTTCAATAATAATATTCTAAATCATCAATTAAAAATGAAACGAAAATTTGGTAAAAATATCATTGCATTTGATATTTTAGTTCGCTAATTGATTAATTGACTAAAAATAAAAGAGAAGTAATTGGATGAAAATAAATATGATATTACTAATGGATTGAAAATTTAAAAGGAAATGAATATTAATAATTGACTGCAAATAAAAAATTATTCATAATTGATTAATATGAAAAAAATAAATGGTTAGACCATTGCATTTTAATTAAAATGGAAGGGAAACTAAAATTGAACGCCAATATTTCAATAATAATATTCTACATCATAAATAGTAAATGCATATTTTAAACAATAGTAAAGGTAAATTACAAATGGAACAGAAATATTTCAATAATAATATTATACATCCTCAATTAAAAATGGAACACAAATTAGGTAAAAATATCACTCCATGTAATATTCTAATTGACTAAAAATACAAAAGAATAATTGACTGAAAATGAATATGATATTACTAATTTATTTAAAATATAAAAGGATCGCTAATTGACTAATATTATACCATTATATATTTTCACCGAGTCACCCATCCTGATCAATTGAAGGTGTTAGCTCTAGACAATGATGGACAAGATTGTGATGCTACTACCAATGTTGTCTACAAAGAGGTTTCAACAATGTGTAAATAAAATCGTTGATATTATATTTTTTAAATGACAAAATTGTTATATGTATAGACAAAAAAAATATCCTCCATACAAATGAATTAAGATAACAATTCATTCATATAACTGAGTTGCTAGAAAACGAACACATTTGTATAATTTATAAAAAAAAATACTAAACAATGATAAAAAAAAAAAAAAAATCTCCAAAGTTATAACACTACATGCATACATCTACACATTAGCTATTAATTTGAACAATTATTTGCTTAAATTCATACAATGATAATATAAAAACACATAAATGATCCAACCCGTATATTCAATTGAACTATATAATATTTGATGTTCTAATTTAAATAATTATATATCGATCCAAATATTCTTAATATATTACAACAAATCTATTCCGTGCATCGCACGGGCGCAAATACTAATATATATAAACATTAATGTGCAATCCAACTATTAGCTTAGTCTTTTAGTTAAGATGGAGCACACTTCAATATCAGAGCCATGTCCGGTTATGGGAGAACAATTTGTTTTAAAAATGTAGCAATCCATTGTCCCAATGGCTAATTGTGCAACCAAAAGTATTTTATTTTGAGAATGTTGCAACTTGCAAATTTGGTACCCATTGTCCCAAATGGGTAAAAACTTCAAAATTACAAAAGCTGGCAAGTAATTACTTACAACAAAGTTAACCTTGATCTACTATCAACTTCACAATAAGCTTACCACTACAATAAATATTGAAACAAAAAGTAAAATTTAAGTTAGCAAGCCATCAAGGCTGCATTCTTCTTCTTCTTCTTCTTCTTCCATGGTAGCCCCATTTAATAAGCCTCAAACAAGATTATCTACAACTGTTACTTCATCCTCCCCGATTTCACTTTGCATCTGCAAGTCTCAAGCGTATTGATTCAGGGCCCGGGATCTTGTTAACACTGCAAAGCGTGGAATGAGTGACCATACTTTCGACTATAGGAATATCTAAATGATAGTGAAAGGAGAAAAAAAATTAGGACTTACCATATGAGGAGATCGCCACTTGATGCTGGCTTTTCATGGATCCATTCTGGCGCTAGTTCATGCAGTAATCTGAGTTGCTCTTCGATTTCTCCTGCAGAAACGAAACAGTTTAGCCTTGGAAACAAAAAAAAAAAAAAAAAAAAAAAAAAAAAAAAAAGGTTTCTTTAGAATCAGTTGGGTCGAGATTTGGTACGAGGCTTACTAGTATCAACAGTTCCTAGGTGGCTTGAAACGATCTTGTGCATAAATTCCTCCTTGGTGATGACAGAGCGTCTGATCGATTGAAACAGGAAATAAATTGTGTCAAACAGTTTCGGTAGCCCTGCAAGCATTTGTTTCCTCCATTTTGCTTGTGAGATGGCGGGATCTTTTTCCTCGAGCGCTTTCCTTTCCTTTTCTCTTATCTGCATAAGCACCACGGTTAGTTTTTTTTCTTGAAAATTAGTTTGAAACGAAATGGCGAGAAGCTTGATATGTACTTACTGATTCCAGGAGATCCTCGGGGAGATCATATACATCATCACGAGCTGAAAGTCTTTCGGTCTCACTACCTTCGTTCTTCACTGGAGTGTCAAAGATCTGCCTGACCGCCCTGGAAGGGCGCCTAACTAGTTTGTTTGGAGATTTAGCTGAATCGTCGTCTTCTGGAGTCATATAACATCTCTTGGGAGGTCGAAGAGCGGGTGTGGAGCTCACCGGTTTTGCTGGGGTGGATGCGAGTTTAGTTGGTGTCCCTTCACCACTCAAGAATGAACCTTCCTCGACTTTTGAGAGACGCAAATCCTTCTCAACACAAGATTTAGAAGCTTTCCTCTCGGGGGGAAGATTGACAGAAACCGTTTGTTCTTTCTTGGTGTCCTCCGCCCTGCAGCGCTGGGAGAAGCTCCCGAAAGAACGAGAGAGGTGGGAGGTTGAAGCCGGGGGTTTAGACAGGTTGACGATAATGCCAATGCCACCAATCTCAGACACAACTTCATTTCTCGCCTCACCACCCGAACCAGAAGGCACCGGTGGCTTTGATTGATTGAAGGGATATGGTAATTCCTCCTCTGGAATATCATCTCCCTGAACCAAACATCATAGTCAACAAAAACCATTCATTTGCAAAATCATTAAAAGCAACAATCTGGCAACAATGTTCATTCCACCAAACACTATCCATGAAATCACAACAGAAAACTAATAACAAATAAATCTTGAATTCTCATCATCAAGTTTCGCTTATATTAGCTTGATCCAGAAAATCATTATGCCATCAAAAAGTAAATGCATACCTCTGGATGGGATTTGAAGAAATCCAAAAGTCGAGCCCGGAAAACTTTCCTCAACTCCAAATTCCCATTCCCAGATTTCACCTTTCCATTGTCCCCAATCGCACTGGCATTTAGATTAATACGAAGATCAGGCTTCATACAGCTCGTGCGTTCATCATGGACGAGGATCTTCGTAACCTCGATGGCTTCAGGTAAAATAAACTTCAACTGAGCTAGATGGCTGTGAGAAAACCTCCTATTAAATCAAACCAAAACCAATAAATTAGCACAATGGCCATAACCTAATGACAGCAAATCTTGAAGAGATTAAAGAAATGCAGCTAATTAACTCTCGATTTGGTTTATGTACCTGTCGGTTAAACACTCGATTTTGGGACTAATGTTTGTAAATGTTGTCTTTGATCCCTTCATTCGTAGCAGCCGGATAGAACTATCCAAGCTATTGAAGAATTCACCCAAAATCTCGTACCTGAAACATAGTCACTAACATTAATATTCAATAGAATCAAAACCATTTCGGATTAGAAATTGGAATAATTATTTGAAACCCAAAAACTATAGATTAAACAGAAAAAAATATTGAAAACTGTACAAGATTATCCAGCCAAAATAGCAAAACCAAAAGGGGAAAGTTCTTACTTTTCCGGCAGCTTTGCTGGACCGTCGGACTTCTTAGGCTTTGCAGGCGGAGATTCAGGCTGGGAACCAATCTGCCCGGCGGCGGAGCTCAAAAGTGGATCTGCTTGAGATGGCCGTTCCGGATCTGATTTCCGGAGCTTTAGCGCCGCCTGTCGGACTTGTTTCAAGGAGAGCGCGGAGTTGCCGTTTCGACTCCGGCGAGGAGCATTGACCGGCTTCTCAGGGGTCTTGGAGCTCCATGGATCCCGGTCCGCCGGAGACTTAATCTCCGGCGAAGGATTTGGCTTCGAACTGGAATGCAGAACCTTCTTCGTCTTAAACGATTCGAGCAACGACGACTCGGCGGAGTCCATTACAAAAATTCACTGTAAAACTAAAACCAAAACTCCGTCACTAATCAACACAAATATGGATGAAAAAACTACAATTTCCATTTCCAAAATCGAGCTGAAAAATAACAGCCCAGATAACGAGATAATCCACAAACAGACAAAAAAAGACTAAAAGATCTACCAGAATTTCGATCAAAGACCAAAACTTTCAGTTCAAAAGCGCTATAAAATCACATAAAAACAATGGGATTACGAAAAAAAGCTCCATAAAATCGATCAAAGGATTTACTAACCTCCGTTAAGAAACGCTTCTTTATCTTCTTGTCGTTCTTGAGGCTGGGTTTCGGGGCAAGCGATGGAAGAAGGAAGGTGTGCAATGGTGGTTGCGCGGCATAAATGTTAGGGTTCTGGCGGGAATGCTGATGTGGCAAGCGACGTGTCCCCTTGCCACGTAAGGATTCGCGCCAAATTCTATTGAGTGTGGGATTGTGGGCTGGGCCTGATTATATTTCCTAGAATATGACCGTTGGCAACCCTGCCAACCCATAAAAAGAAAAAGGAATAAATTTTTATTTTCTATTTTTATATATATATATATATATATATATATATATATATATATATATATATATATATATATATATATTGGACCGTTGGGAATTAATATTTTTCCTTCTTCGAGAAAACAAATTCATATTTTTCGTGAATTATTTATTTAAATTCTTCTTTTTATACATTAGAAGAAAAATAAAAGACAATAGCAAGCCCTCCCCAAGTTTGCAGAATTAGTGATGCAATTTATTGAATTTATTTATATAGTTTATATAAATATCATAAATTGTATTATAAATAGAGTCTGATCTTTCAATTGTATAATTAGTTAATAAATTATCTTGAAATATAATAGTGATTGAATAACAAATAAGTATGTCACGTTGAATATTATTACAATTGTAAGGGAATGAGTGTTATTGATTGATTATGAGTTATCACATTATTCGACAATATCTTTATTTATAGGAGTATATTTATGCAATTCTAATTCTATTTGGACAAGGTAAAGCCATACAAGGATCTTTTTAAAACAATAAATTTATTATTATTATTATTAGTATTAATATTATTATTATTATTTTGGTCGACAAAAGGAATGTGTAGTCATGACAAGATGCTGTGTACTAGATAACCATTATTCATTTGTAATAGTCTGCAAACTACACTAGGAAGATAATATGTGACAAGTTCAACCTCAAACTCAAACTCAATATTGATTTAATCAAATTACTCAGTAGTAATTAATATAAGTTTTATAAATCTAGCTCTACAAAGTTAGGAAATTAAAATCAAAATTAAAAATATAAAACAAGGAATTAATTATCGAGAAATAGATAACAATAATGAGAAAGTAAAGATTTAATTATAACGGGAGGTCTATTCAATAAGTTTATACAGTTAGAATCAACCTACAAAGTTAAGGTAGGCCCTGACCCGTGATATAACAATGGGTGATACATAATTGTCCAAGTTAAGGACCCAGACGAAATTCGACCCGCTAAAATACAAATTTTGTTTTTTGTTTTTTTTTTTTTTTCTCACATAAATTCGGATTTGGTTTAATTATAACCCGACCCGAGACCACATCTCCCTCGACGGCCACTGCGGAAAGAGGGTTTTTTCGAGGGTTTAACAAATCAACGAAAAAGCTACAATCTTTACCAATTCCCACATTCTCCCAACTCCATTGAAGCTCCGCCATGAGAAGAGCTTCATCCATACTTATTCCACGTCTTCGCCGCCACGCCAAGGCATCATCTTTCATCTCCAAACCCATCAATTCTCCCTTCTCCTCCCTCACTTCAACAACTCCATCACACCCCAATCTCAAACCTAGCAGCAAAACCCAACCTTCTCTCTTCTCCAATGGCAACCCCCAGATGTTCAACACTCTCGCGGACCAAACCCCGCCCCAGATGTCCTCAAGGCAGCGAAAGATCAAAGAAAGATCGGAACTTGAGGAGGCCTTCGAGTCCGCAGAGACCACAGAGGAGATGCTCAAGGCTCTCCGGGATATGGAGGCCTGCTTTGATGAAACCGAGCTTGGATTGGCTTGCCTGAAAATGGGCCTCAAACTCGACCAAGAAGGTAAGGATCCTGAAAAGGCTCTGTCTTTTGCCAATAGGGCTTTGAACGCTTTGGATAGAGATGATAAAGTGTCTTTGCCTCTTGCCATGACTCTGCAGCTGATGGGCTCTGCTTGTTATAGTCTAAAAAGGTTTAATGATAGCTTAGGGTACCTTAATAGGGCTAAGAGGGTTTTGGGTCAATTAGAGAAAGGGGGATCTTGTAGTGTTGAAGATTTTGGCCCTGTCCTCCATGCTGTGGAGCTTGAATTGTATAACACAAAGACAGCCATGGGGAGGAGGGAGGAGGCTCTTGTTAATCTCAGGAAGTCTTTGGAGTTAAAAGAGATGAGTTTGGAGGAAGAAAGTAGAGAACTTGGCAAGGCTAATAGGGATGTTGCCGAGGCGTATGTTTCCGTCTTAAATTTCGATGAGGCACTGCCGTTTTGTTTGAAGGCATTGGAGATACACGAGGGGCAATTGGGGAACAATTCCGTCGAGGTTGCCCACGACAGGAGACTTCTCGGGATTATCTACACCGGGTTAGAGGAGCACGAGAAGGCGTTGGAACAAAACCAATTGTCGCAAAGGGCCTTGAAGAATTGGGGCCGTGGTTCAGAATTACTCCAAGCCGAGGTCGATGCTGCCAATATGCAGATTGCCTTGGGGAGGTACGATGAAGCGATCGAGACTTTGAAGGGCGTTGTTCAGCGGACCGATAGAGAAAGCAAGGACCGAGCTATGGTCTTTGTATCCATGGCAAAAGCGTTGTGTAATCAGGAGAAGTTTCCAGACTCAAAGAGGTGCCTCGATGTTGCCTGTGGGATCCTCGGTAAGAAAGAATCGAGCTCCCCTATTGAAGTTTCCGAAGCGTATATGGAAATCTCGATGCAATACGAGACGATGAACGAGTTTGAAACCGCAATATCGTTGCTGAAAAGAGCGCTGAGAATGCTCGATAAGATCCCTCAGGAGCAGCATTCAGTAGGGAGTGTATCCGCAAGAATCGGGTGGTTACTTTTGCTAACGGGAAAAGTCGAGCAAGGCATTCCTTACTTGGAGGACGCAGCCGAAAGACTTAAAGAGAGCTTCGGTTCGAAACATTATAGTATCGGTTACGTTTACAATAATTTAGGAGCTGCATACATGGAACTCGATAGACCACAATCGGCTGCACAAGTTTTTGCTTACGCCAAGGATATCATGGATGTCGCTCTTGGCCCTCACCATGCCGATTCAATCGAGGCATGCCAAAACCTATCGAAAGCATATGCTGCTATGGGAAGGTAAGAAAAATAATCTCTTGATGCATTATATTGATTGAGCCACAATGGTCGATACTTCATTCACAATGCAATCTCTTATGTATCTATGTTTTCTTGATTTACTTTATATTTTCTTGCTTATTCTTCAAAACTTAGTTGATTTAGTAGTTACAAGAAGAGCTAATTCCCTCTTAAGATCGCATTTTCTCGTACCTATAGTCCTATACAAGATGATTTTCAAGGAAGGTTGAACGAGAGTCTGTATAAATGTCTAATTGCCTAAACAAGAACGAAAGAGGAAAAACGAAGAGTACTTCTTTTTCATGGTGGTGGGGACATTGGGCGTTCCTCTTACACCTTGGGGTGTTTGGTGAATAGTTGTTAGCTGATTGGTTAGTGGGTTTGACTAGTTGATAGCAGTAGCTGATTGTAGAAAGATGTTCGGTAATTTAGCTGTTAGCTGACAGTTGATTATATGCAAAATGACTTTCTTAAAAAGCTTATCGAAACATCTTTTTCAATTTTAGCTTTTTGGAGCAATAAGCTGTTACAAAAAGCTAATTAATCAAACATTTATATTGGTTGTTTAATAAAGTCAAATAACTAATAGTAGTCAAATAAGCCAAAATTGGCTGATAAGTTAAATATGTTATTGGCGAAGATCATTACTAAAGGGAGGAAATTTAGGCTGGTTGGATCTCAACCCACCCAGAGTATTCATTACCTGCTTTAGTCTTATCCATTTCTTTATTAGTGGAGAAACACTGTTTATTAACCTTAGTGATGGATCCTTTTGCAGCTATCAACTTGCAATTAACTTCCAGAAGAAAGTTATAGAAGCTTGGGAAGGCCATGGTCCAAATGCAGAAGATGAACTTAAAGAAGCTTATCGAATTCTTGAGCAGCTAAAGACGAAAGCCCGTGGTTCATTGCCAGAACAGCCCCCTATTAAGGCCTTGCCTTCATCAAACGCCTCTAGCTTAAATAGTAACTCTCAATCTGATGTTTCAATCACTGAAAGGTGATCAATGTCGGTTTTTTGCCACATATTTTGGGATCTTTTTCATCTTCAACAGCAAAGGAACTATAGTTTAATTTGTAACTTCTTCTTCAAATAGCTTCCATAGAAGTGCTTGGCATTCATCACCTTGCATGCATATATTCAATCATATATTAGTTTGCAGTCTTGGCTGTCTTGCACATACTGTGCTAATGAGTAAATACTTGGCACACAAACACACACACACACACACACACATACATATGTATATATAGACTCATGATCAAATGAGTCTACCCCTTCCCATGAGTGTGTGTGGACAGATCTGGGCCATTGAATGCTTGAGATCAATGGCTTAGATTTCTCCAACTGTGTTTCGCGAACTGTGCAAGTGAAATGCATAGTTGTCGTGCATAGTTGGCGAAATCTAAGCTATTGATTTCAAACATTCAATGGTCCAGATCTGTCCACACGGACTCATGGGAATGGGTGGACTCACTTGATCAATGGCATATATATATATATATATATATATATATATATATATACATTGCTACCTAGTTTGAAATGTGAGTTGAGTTGGGAGGAGAGATTGCCAGGGCAAGTAGTCTAAGAGGTGGACAGACGGTCTATCTTATGCTTCTTGAGATGCATTTTTAAAATGGAGCTCACGTTTTCATGGCTTTCTGAATGGAGAATCAACAAGTGTTGGGTTCCTGGTATGATCTGGTTTTGTCTGTTCACACTCGTTTGAAGCATTTTAAGGGTTTACAGTTTTCTTTCAACTAGTACTACTACTGCTAATATTCAATGGGAAGAATGGCACTTCTTGATCCTCTAATTCCATGTCCAAATGAGAAGATGGATCTATGCATCCTGCTGCTGCTACTCGATTCACCATTGTTTCTAACCTCGTCAACATGTCCGGTCTGTCTCAGGATTTCTTGGACCGACAGATAAACATGTCTGTCAGCTGCAGAATCCATGGAGAAGGATCTTCTGATGGGTTGGATGGAGGAGAACTGGGAATCTTTCTCTCTCACGTCAATCCACTCGTCCCCCATGATTGAAGCGCTGTGGAGCTTTCTGGGTTTTGTTTTTCTTGAAGAATGGGGCTGCCGCAGTAAGCTCCGCCGCGAGTCGCTTCTGTCCAGCGCCGCCGTCTGCGGCGGCGAGGCGGCGGTTGTGGTGTCGTCTCCGGTCAGCTCAATCACCACGAAGTCCTCGTCGCTGCCGGTCGCGCTTCCGAGGAACGGCCGGGGATCTTGGGGGGAAGAGTTGGGGGCGATGATCCGATCGAGCGGCGGCGTTCTTGATTTTCCGGCGATGCTGGTTCTGCAGAGCGGGCAACTGGCGTTGTTCTGCAGCCATATATCGATGCAATCTGAATGGAAGGCGTGGTTGCATTTGGGAAGAACCCGGAGCGTTTCCAGCGCCTGAAACTCACTCAAACACACCACGCACTGCCGGAAACTCCTCTCCCCGCCGCCGCCGCCGCCGTACTGGACCGTCGGGATATCGCGTATCAGCAGCTCATCCACCCCCCGGCTCTGCAACGACGGCGAATACGACGACACCAGCGCCTCCTCACGGCGGCGCTGTCTACTCACAAACAGCCGCCGCAACGGATCAATCTGCTGCCACCGGAAACAGCACTTGGTCACGAACACATAGTAGCTGACGAGCAAGAAACCGGTGGCCATGATGCCCAACAGCGCAATGGCGATCATCGGAAAGCCACCATTGCCGGAATCTGGGGAGGTGGGAACTTGGGATTCATGGATATGTGCTGTAATATCCATCGCAGAGAAACAAAGAATGTGATATATACAACGAATTGAACGCTCAGTACTGTAATAAAGATGTCTGCTTTACAAGGAGACAAGCTTGGAGATGGAAGCCAACAGTGAACCAGTATGATGAGATCTGAATAGGAAGACACTGTTCATTAATGCAGCGAGGAAAACGTTAACGTTAACACTTTGATATATGGGTTTTTGGCTGTGGAGAAAGGAAACATTTATGTGGGTTATGACTTTGGGGAAAATGATTTTGTGGGCATCTAGAACAGAAACATGGTAAGTCAAAAGTTTAATAAAAGAATGCTGAAACCCGGTCATCGAGTGAGTAAAATATTATTCTCCTATCAATTACAAGTTCGATTTTAGTCAATACAGTTCTGTATGATTCGCTAGCTATTACATGTCTGATATGATTTTTCTGGTGCTATTATTTATCTCCCTTCTTATATGATTTGCGAGCTATTACATTTTTGCTATCACAAAAAATGTTTAACATATAAGTAGAATGTACTTTGGGAGTTTGAAGATGCTGAGACATGGAATTAACAATGATAAAGATGCCTGACTGGCATTATGGTTTTGAGTTTTGACTGCAGAACTATCCTTAGATATTAGCTGGACTATAGCTATGCTCAAACAAATTATTTAATTGATGGCATCACTTTTCGAAAAGTTATAATTAATCAATACCAAATTTCTATTATATTTGGTATTAATCAGAGTAACCTATAAAATGTCAAAGGTAATAAGATGGATTTTGAATATGATCTGTGCACATAAGGGATTGCCCACTTTGAACATAATCTCCACACTGTTGCTGTCAAACCCGTGAACTAAGCTCGTGCAGGCAAGACAAAAAATATCTACTTATAACTCTATATGAAAAAGAAGTGAAGGAGATGGATGGATGTAGGAACAAAAAAGGAATTGAAGTGGGAAAACATCATTAAAGAACACGAAGGAAATGTGAATAGAATGGTGAGGAGGAAGAAATAGGAGCCGACCAGGTTGACCCATGTAATTGCAGGCGTGGGTGACCTCATGAATGCTGCTTTCCTGCATATATATATGCCCTTTTTTACAAACTGTAAGTAATGAATTGAAGGAAGAGTGAGATCTGAGGAACATAACCCTTTCTGCTGCAATCTCCAAAGTCCAAATTAAAATATTATTTTATTTGTTTTTACAAGGTTGCTGCAAATTCAAAAGGTCTGGTCTTTTGCCGGCTAGGATCATAATACAGGATTTATTCTGTACATACACTCGAGTAATAACGATAAGTTTTCCTTGTTACTCAAAAAGATTTGGTAAACTATAGCTAGAAAAGTCAAATTGCTTTATTTATATATAGTATTCAATTTGAATAATGACATTGCAATATAATATACCAAATATTACTAAAAAGAAGTGGTTCCTGGAGTTTAAGTTTCAGCAACACTTTTAGGAGAACCCTTTCTGAATAGGATCCGATCAAGACTCAATCTTGCTTAATAGAATACAGTATAATAATGATAATAATTCATCATATCTTACAAATTCAAGATTAGTGGTCCAGGCAAATTACGTTTGCAACAATGGATTGATACTAAAGGAATCTAAAATGTTTAGATTCTTGTGGAAAAACAACAAAACTTAGAGCAAATACGTGCTGTATAAATGTGTGCATATATAGTTTTCATGCAAACATTGCACAGAAACTAACCCACAATTTCAAGACTGAAAACCAAGCAGAGAATTGCAGAAAATTAAAGAGAAGTGAAGAAGAAGATGGTGTTGCTTCTTTCAAACTGGTCTGATGTTCAATCTGTGCCTGAACATTACATTTTCCCACCCGATGTCAGACCTGGAAACCTCGATTTCCCCACTTATACCGACATTCCAATCATAGACCTCGGAAACCCTGACAAGAATGAAACCATTCAGCACATCCTTAAAGCATGCCAAGACTCTGGGATTTTCCAGGTTCTTTAATTTCTTGATTTACATTGTTTTCTGCTACAAACTCATATATGTATTTCATCATCAGCTCTATCTTCCAAAGATTGAGACTTGAATTGAGAATGTTGTGAATGCAGGTGATTAACCATGGAGTGTCTGAGGATCTAATGGATGAAACAATGAATGTTCTTAAGGAATTCTTCAATCTGCCTGGAGAATACAAGGAAAGTTTTTACTCCCAGGACATGACTAAACCCTGCAGAATTTTCTCCAGCACTTTAGCTTATGAAACCGAAGAGTTTCACTTCTGGAGAGACAACTTCACCCACAGATGTCACCCCCTGGAAGATAACATCCATTCCTGGCCAGAAAAACCCACCAAATACAGGTAATTAAACACAAACAAACCTAAGCCCAGAATTCTTAAATTATCAATCTTTATCATTACCCACAACCTCAAATTATTTTTTTTTTCACTGATGATATATAAGATCTGTTGTGAGTGAGTATTCGGTGGAAACTCGAATGCTTCTGTTGAGGATCTTGAATATGATATCTGAAGGACTGGGAATCGAAGCGGGGTTCTTTGAAGGAGAATTGAGCAAAACTCACTTATTGTCAGTGAACCATCACATTCCATGCCCGGATCCATCTCTCACTCTGGGAATGCCTGTGCATGCTGATCCAAATCTCATCACCCTTCTTCACCAGGGTCAAGTTCCAGGGTATCAGTTCCTCAAAGATGGCCGCTGGACCAACGTTGCCCCTCTCCGCAACGCCTTCATCGTCCAACTTGGCCTAACCATAAAGGTAAGTATATAACGTATAGCGATTAATGTGCAATTCAACTATGAGTTTAGGCTTTTAGTTGAGATGGAGCACATATTTCAATTTGATATCAGAGCCAGATCAAAGGTGATGGTTCACTGCTGTCTGCTTGGAACCCTGGCGGTGCAATCCAACTATGAGTTTAGGCTTTTAGTTGAGATGGAGCACATGCTTCAATTTTCACAACATATGCGATTGTGTTAATGTGTGAGCATTTGGTCGAGCAGGTGGTGAGCAACGACAGGTTCAAGGCAGTAATACATCGTGTGGTGACGAACTCGAAACAGAGCCGAACTACCATCGGAGTGTTTCTTGGCCCGTCTCAAGAAATCTCCATTGAACCGGCTGGAGCTTTGGTGGATTCCGGCGAGCCGCCGGTGTACCGGGCTTTTACGTACCCGGAGTTGTTCAACTTCTTCAAGGCAAATCATTGCGATGGACTCCGATGCTTCAAGACCGACTCCAATTAGTTGCACCACTTGCAAGGCGGACCAGAGTCTAAAAATACACAAATTACATACAAAATGTTCACAATTTACATACTGAATGTTCATAATTTAAATTGTGAATATTTAGCATGTAAAATCTAAACATTCAATATGTAATTGTGTATTTTTGAATTCAAGTTCACATTGTAAAGTGGACCTAGGTCCCCCGAATAATTTATCAATTAGTTATGTGTAAGCGAAATAATCATGTAACCGTATATTTTCAATGTTAAAAACAGGTTTGAACTGTACACTTTTCGGTAGTGGTTGCGGACTTTTCTTTTATATGTAATATAAAGTGTTGTGGAAGAAATAATGGTAGCATGAGCTTTTGCTTGGTTTGATTTTGGAGTTAACCTGCCCATATTTGAATTTAAATCGGATTATCAATATATATTATTATATTTAAATTCGAGTTTGTAAATATAGAAAAGTTGTACAATATCTTTTATTTTTAAGTAAAATAAGAGAAAAATAAAAAATTACAAAAAATTTAGTGTAAGCCACAGCCAACCATTAGAAACCAAGAGTGATTTAGTATTTTAAAGGATTACGAAACACATGTAGCTTGACCATATAATCGGCATAGAGATTAGTCTCCGTGGAAACATATCTACTTTAGAGATTAATTGTAATTTTATTTTGTTTTAATCTCTTAAATAATTAGGTAAAATTAAATATTAGGCATTTTAAAATTTGAAGTCTTGTGTTGTTGCACAATCTAAAATTCGGCCCTGGTAATTTCTGACGATATGAATGAAGACCAATCGTTATGCATTGGAACCGTGGACACGGTTATATGTTCATAATTACTGAATTATATATTCATAATTATAAAGCTATATATTCATAAATTTTTTGAACTTCATATTCATAATTATTGAACTCTATATTAACAATAACAGAACTCTACGTTCATAATTACTGAACTATATATTCATAATTATAAAACTATATATTCATAATTTTTAAACTTCATATTCACAATTATTGAATCTCTATATTCATAAATACATAACTATATGTTAATAATTATGTTCACAACTCTACGTTCATAATTATAAAACTATATGTTTATAATTATTGAAATATATATTCATAATTATGAACAGTTTTAGAACCGTATCTGATGGATCTATTGTACCCGGAACGAACCGATCCGGAGAGACGGACCCGAGGCGCCTCGGCCCAACACCTTGGGCCGTGGCCGGGTCGGCCCAAAGAAACTCGGCCATGGGCCGAGCCCGGCCACGGACGAACTCGGTACACCCAAGCTCGTCACCATGGACCCGGCTACTGCCAAGCCGAGCCGGTTCATGGTGGACTCGGCTAGCCCGAGCTCGGCACATGCCCGGCTCGGCCATGCCGAGTCGCCCCGCTTTGGATCCGGTCCCGGAGGAGACGCGGTCAAAGCGGACCGATCTAACCACCCCCAGTTCTAGGGGTGCGGTTGGGGATTGAGCTGGTATAAAAAGCTCCCTCCTTGTCCTAACAAGGGACCCCTAATCATTATCTGACATAACATATTCCTGAATTACTATCTTATAGCATTATTTTCCTAATCAAGTCTTATAATAGCTTATTAGCGATAATTAATACAATATACGGTCTCTGCGATCTTACGATATCCTTGCGTTATATTTATTTATTTCATATCACATTCTTATCCTGATTCATTGATTCGGGTCTACCCCGAGTCAATTAGTTCCATCAGTATCTATACAGTTCCACGGCATAACTTGCCAATGAAGACACTCAAGACATACTGAGTATCACGAGTCCAGAAAAAATTACTATTACACGCTGCTAGGTTAGTGCTAGGTTGAACACCTTTGGCCCTTTTTTTTTTTTTTTTTTTTTTTTTTTTTTTAATATTAAGAAGAAGAGAGACTCATTAACAAATATAAAATGGGCCGCCATGGCAACATCTTTAAAGCTCCTTAGTTATGATTATTTAGGCTTGGAAAAAAACATGTTAAAGCCCACAGATAATTAGGTAAGCAACAATGGTTTCCATTCACAAAATAATTACGTAGGTTCAACCCAGCACGTATACAATACAGGTTAAATGGATAGGCCCGTTTTAAGTTGCTTTAAAGTCTAAATCCGGATTTACAGTACTATTGAAATACTTACTGTATCCATTCTCGCAAATTATGCTGTGGAAACGTATTTACCATGCGCATGATGAACACAGAGGTAAATTCATAATTTTTATACTGTAAATTTATAATTTTTTATTTTTTTTTAAACGTAGATTTATAATTTATAATTTTTATACTGTAGATTTATAATTTTTTATTTTTTTTAAACATAGATTTATAATTTTGTTTTTTCATTTGTTGTTACAGAAATTATGAATTTACAGTATAGAAATTATGAATCTACAGCATAGAAATTATGAATCTACAGTATAGATGTTATGAATCTACAATATATAAATTATGAATCTACACCTTAGAAATTATGGATCTATCCCGTTAACAACTAATGAAAAACAAAATTATGAATCTACGTTTTTTAAAAAAAAAAATTTTAAAAAATTATGAATTTACAGTATAAAATTTATGGATCTACCTTGTGTTCGCATGGTGAACACGTTTCCACAACATAACTCTACTATCCATTAATTCTTAGATGGATCCAACCTATATCATTACCTTGCTCAATTATTTAAGTTATAATGATATATAAAAAACCTCATTTTTCCTGTATTTTTTTTATCATATCGTATGATTTTGATACATCATATATATATATATATATATATATATATATATATATATAGTAATTTAAGCTCAATATTACTATTTGAATAGACACATAATTTACTATGTTCATCCCTATATATCCTTCACACAATCACATATATACGTATACAACAAACATGTACACTTTGATTTGCGCAAAAATATATATTCATTATCTGAAGGTGTATAATTCTTTGTGATTTACCCAAATAACTATACAAGAAATTAAATTTAATTCTTTGTGATTACCCAAATAACTATACATGGATTAACTCAGGTGAATTATCCCACCAAAGAATCATGTCTTACGTTGTTCATCACCTAAGCTAACACAACGTCATCCAATGATGCCATCCTGAATCACACAATAAGCAGTTAATTACACAATTAACTTGGTCACCAACCGAATCAAACCCAATCTAATTAAATTAATTAATTCCCACTGTCAACCCATCCGATCCATTTCTTGTTGTCACAAGTAAATTGCACTTAGACAACGTCATCAATATGACGATCTCAATTTGTCACTCCCAAACATACATGGCTACAAAATTCTCATTTTTAAATCTAATACAAAGTGAAACTTTATAGACACAAAGAAGTCTTTCAAGCCCTTTTTAGACTGCTTTAGGAATATGAAAAAGTAAGTATGCGTAGTATCAACTACCTACAACATTGATTGAAAACACTAACTACTTAGAAATGTCGTTAAAAAACTTAGACTGTTATGTAAAATTTATCGTGCAATTTTCTCTTTTCAAGATAACATGAATTTTATTTTTTATTTTTTTTTAAATAAAATTAAAAGAGTTTAGTTTAAGTTGCATCCTTGAATAATATATGCCTAGCTAGCTTCTTACATATTTGTTACAAAATAGTCGGACTTTAATTTAATTTAAAACTAAGGTGAGAAATAATATATCTTATGCCATCCTAGCCATCGTCTTAGTTTATTACATAATCTTGATTATTAAAAATTAATCACGTTGTTAATCATGGCTGCATTCACTGGATGTGTCAATTCTATATCACTAGTCATTTTCCATGGACGATATATATTTTTAAGTTACCGGAAACTGCATTTGGTATTCAAAAGTGTGTACTAAGTAAATCATATTTTCTGACCAATTTAATCAGCAAATGAGTATAAGGTAAATTAACCTTATACTAACTGATCGGTTCAAATTATGTAGACATTAACAATTATACAGTCAACTGTCCAATCAACTTGGCTCGAGTTATCCCAATATATATATATATATATATATATATATATATATATATATATATATATATATATATAGTGGTGAGTATAAATGGTGGCCAGCAGGGTGGAAGGAGAATTGGAAGCGAGGGAAAATGGATGAAGATCGCGGCGACGGGAAGAAAGAAGAAGAAGCGGAGGTGAAGTACCGGGGAGTGAGGAGGCGGCCGTGGGGGAAGTACGCGGCGGAGATACGCGATTCCAACCGGAACGGCGTCCGCGTGTGGCTGGGAACGCATGGCACGGCGGAGGAGGCGGCCAGAGCTTATGACAGAGCAGCGTATGAAATGAGGGGTAAATTCGCGGTCCTTAACTTCCCCGAAGAGTACCCTCCGCAGGTTGCTACGGCGGCGGCGTCTCCGTCGGCCCCTCCGCATGTTGCTTCTGGTTTTCCGTCGACGGCGCCGGAGTCGGCGTCTTCAGGCGGCTGCGCGGTAGTGGAAAATGTGGGTAATAAGTGTAGTGTTGAAGGACGAGAGACGACGGCGAAAGAAGTGATTGAGTTCGAGTGTCTGGATGATAAGTTGTTAGAGGACCTCCTCGGCTGCCACGAGACAGAACCTAAGAAGAAGTAACCAGACAGCCGGAAAAAATGGCGACGGCCGGCTGTAAATATGACGGAATCTTGAATTTTGACTTTTTTTTTTCTTTTTCTTTTTTTGGGAGGTGGGGGAAGTGATGAAAGCTATGATCTATGCATATTTGATTAATTATTTCTTCTTTTAAATGTTATTTCTTCTTTTATGCATATATATCAGTGATGGCAACTTGTACACTTGTTTTGTTGGAATATTCCTTTCAAGCAATTCGCAGCGCTTTTATTATGACAAACAAGAAATCAACAACAACATCCTTAGCTTGACTTTGAATTGAATTTAATTATTTTATTGGCTCATTTTTTTAATTAGTGGGAAAATTAAAATAATTAATTAGAACCAATTCAAACACCACTCATACAACCAAATTGACATTTAAAATTCCTCAATTAAATCAGGTACCTTGTGGTATGACATCAATATTATCTTCCCATATTAGTTAAGTACGTACAATATAATGTGTAGTTCAGATTAAAAGGTTTATAATTTCTCAATTGAATGATTTTTTTTTTTTTTTTTTGTGAGGCCATTTGCTTTTGCCACATTAGTATTGGCCATGTTTTTGGTAAACAAATTTCTGAAAATCATGACTATTTAAGAAAAAAAAAAAAAAAAAAACCAATGTCAATAGGAAGTATTACACCAACGCAAATAAGAACCTATTGGATAAAAATTCACAAACATGATTACATAAGTGGCAGGCTATTCGTTCAACACTTAGATGATGCTAGACGATATTACCATTCATAATAATGGTGTTGGTCGGTAGCTACAAAGAGTGTCTTTCTAGATCTCGATTTTGGTTGAAAAGTTAGTTAAAAATACATTCATTGACTAAGCTAAGAAACACATATTTCTATCCAAAAAGGTTAAGTAATGTATATGCAAGATAATTTTAACATTGAATTATAGTTAACATTAATTTATTTTAACTCCATTATATTCAATCAAATGACTTCATTTATTAGCTCATCTTAATTTAAAATTTAGCTCATCAATCAAGACTTCACTTCTTTTCTTCTTCTTTTTTAATTGTTTTGGTAGGCGTTCAACAAATCAACAATTGACTTCAACAATTCCATTGAATTCCTTTACTTTAATTTACCCATAATTGTAACGCAATACGCTGAGGTAAGAAGTTGACGTCATACGCCACATCTCATCTTCAATACATGATAATATGCACGCCTGCCAACAACAATGTATCTGGAATTCTTAATTAACTCTTTCTTCTTAGTGCAAGAAAATATGATGCCATGAAGCATATATATATTGGATTGCAATATTTTAATATTTGGATAAAAAAGTTGTTTTATACGTGTTGTCGAAACTAAATGTAATTAAAAGAAGTTTAAGTAATCTATCCAACGAATAATTTATATGCTTATGTGTTGGTCTTATAATTCATCTAAAGGATAATAATGACAAAAAGTAAAGAAGATAGATGTACGTGGTTTGAACAAGTACTTACGTCTACGGGAGGTCAGGAGTGAAACTATTATTTTATTAATTGTGTGGATGATGATCAACAAACTAGTAACAAAGCACAGGTCACGGGTTAGAGTCCCAGCAAGGGTAAATATAATTGTGCAGTTAAGATTGGAAGGTGTTGAGGGGAGGGGGAATTGTTGCGGTTGTTATACTGTGGACCTGTTGCGGTTGTTATACTGTGGACCATGGTCCGAAAACAACGTCGTTTCTTTAATTTAAGTAAAGAAACGACAGCTGTTACATTTTAATAAATTTCGTATTTTTTGTGTTTTTAACAAAATGAAATTACAGTGTATCTAAACTGAAACTGTATTGTGTTTATATTATCAAATGAAACTGTAATCAAATTGAATAATACTTTTTTTTTTTGAAATAAAACACTCTTACAATCAGACATTGAAATAAATTTTCAATGCTACACGAAATTTGAATCGCTGATTGTTTTTCAAGATTAAAGTTGAATTCGTTGGGAGAACCTGAAGCTTCTTTGATATTGTTAATGATCTTGCTACTCAAGTCTGACTCTATTGCGGCTCTTCTGTCAATAGACAATATCTCCATTAATCTGAACTGCATATCAAGGTTCAAATCTTCTTCGTGCTTGGGGTTAAGCAAACATACTCCATTATGATATAAATTGTTTCACTTTATGAAAAAAGAACTCGCCAAATAAACGAGAGGAAAACTCGTTAAAGATACGAGAGGAAATAACTCGCAAACGAAACGAGAGGAAATAACTTTAACAAAACAACAAATGAAAATCAAATCTAAACTAGTTAAAACAAATCCTAAACACTAAACCACTAACTAATATGTGTGTGTGTGTGTGTGTGTGTGTGTGTGTGTGTATATATATAATTTATTGAACTGCTAAAAAAAGGTAAAGAAGCTTGGATCTGGAGTTGGAGATGGCGAGGGACAGTGGTGAAGGAGGAAGAAACGTCGGTGAGGGGTTGGAGGAGATGGTGGCGGTGGAAGAGAAACGGGAAGAGGTGCCGACAACGGAGGAGAGGCCGAACGACAGGCGATTGAGAGACAATCGGAGTAGGGGAAGAAATTAAACGAGAGGAGGCCGGCGCCACCTCCGCAAAACGAGAGGAGGAGGCGGCCGATCAATGGAGGATGAGGGAAAATCCTTGTAGAGAGAATATTAGGTTAGGAGCGGAGCGGTCCTTTTCTTCTCGCTTAGCATTATGAATTGAATGAAACTGCAGTAAGTATAAACTGAAACTGAATTACATAGGTCTCACATATTGAGTGTATATTGTCAAATAGAACTGTAGTTGAATAGAAATGATACTTTAGTTTTGCTAAAATAAAACTACAGTATGTATAAAAAGAAACTGAATAACATGTCTCACATATTGAATGTATATTGTCAAATGAAACTGTAGTTATAATGAAATGACAATGTAGTTTTGTTGTAATGAAACTACAGTGTTATAAAATGAAACTGAATAACAGTTTCACATATTTGAGTGTATATTGTCCAATGAAAGTGTAGTTGAATTAGAATTATAATTTAGTAGTATTGTAATAAGACTACAGTGTGTATAAAATGAAATTCAATAACATGTTTCACTGTAATAAAACTATTGTACGTATGTATGTATGTATAATGTCGAATTAAACTGTAGTTGTGCTGAAATGAAAGTACAGTGTATATAAAATGTAAATGAATATGATATTCAAGCAAGGCTAATTACGCAAAACGGGTGTCATTTATTTTCATTCAAAGAAACGACACTGTTTTGGACCATGGTCCATAATGTTGTGTGGACCATAGTCCACAGTAAAATTTGTCAAATTGTTGGGTGGAGGCTTTGAAGAGCCAAACTTAGCACCCTGCCTATTGAAAATGCTCGGGTATAAGAAAATAGCTACTAGCTATAAATTTTTACGTAGTGGTAAGCGTTTAATTTGATTTTAACAGATCAAGATAGTGATTTTGTACTTGAGATTATAAGGGGGCATTAAGTTAGAGGAGTATAATGTAAATCAATATGAAGAATAATAAGGTTATATCCTTATTCCTGAAACACTCTCTCGCTTTCAAAAGAGGGTCCTATCTCCACATCATCAAATTTGTAATTCTTCAAAATATATATATATATATATATATATATATATATATATATATATATATATATATATATATATATATATATACACACATCAATGCAATATTCTCTTATTTTCAAATGCAATCTCACTTCCATATTACAATACAATAATTTTTTTTTTTAAAGTACAGAAAGGCTTATGCATGGTGCCATATATGCTACAACCTTTTTTTGTACTTTCCAAGTTTGCATTACACCTAAGCAATAACAAAAAAAAACATCTTGCAAAGGTCTCACTTTCAAGAATAATGAAAGCGTATGCCATAAAGATGACGGGATGAGAAGAAAGAGCTACTTGAGTTACATTATGAGGAGTGAGAGGCGAAATTGGAAGAGCTCAGTGGCACTGATTACTATGCAAACATACAGAAATAAAGTTGCGTATTCACTATAAAAATCACACCTGAAAGACCTTATACAACAAGTTTGACTGAAAGTATATGTATTGACAAAAATCAAATTCATGACCTAATACAGAAATCACGCATCACTTAATTAGCCACCCTTTTTGAGACTTATGTTTTTAATACACTTAATGATCTAGTCAGGGCCGGATTTTAGGCTGTGCAAGCTGGGCTACCGCACAGGGCCCCCAATTTTAGAGGGGCCCCAAATTTTATAGGTCCAATATTTAATTTTTACCTAGCTAGTTTAGAAATAAAAATTAAGAGTTTTCAATTAAACTTAAAAGGTTCTATGAAGAGATGGTAAAAATGTATATTTATTGTATTTTAACTTGGAGGTCAAAGGTTCGAAACTTGCATGTATTGATTTTAAAAATTGTGATTTTGGTAGGGCCACATTTATTTACCAGAACAGGGCCACCAAAATTTAAAATACGGCCCTGGATCTAGTAAATTGGTTCATGACTACCCCTTGCTATTTCGTCCCTTAGTTGACCCTCCGCCCCGCCCCACCCCCACACCAAAACCCATTTAAATATTACCTCACCAACTTCTCAATTGTCTTGTAAATAAACAAATTGATCCTCAAATATCTTCATGAATATATACACTAAACTATACTCTCTAGTGGCTCCCTCTCAACCCATCCCTTTCTTGTTTTCATAAGTAAATCGCCCTTATCATACGTCATCAAAATGACAATCTCAAATCGTCATCACTCCCGGTCCCGGACATGCACCGCGACCGCCCACATATTATAATTATATTATATTACCTATCACCTATGTAGTCTCACACTAAATTACCCCTTCATTAAATATTAAATACTCCGTATTACTTTAATATATTTACAAAAAATATATTTCGTTGATCATTAACAGTAAACTGTAAACCGCATATTAGCTTGGTAATACTATCCCAGTTATTAATTAAAAAAATAAATTATCCCCTTAAAAAACATATGCTCTAAAGGAGACAATGATTATATTCGATAATGTTGATTATTAAAATTGAGTGAGGGCTACATTTCTACTGCGTGCGCGTGTCAATATTTTCCATGCTTAATGGGACGGAGGAATTGAAAGATTTTACAGAGTATAAATGGTGGCGAGAAAGCTAAGAGGGTTACGAGGTGAGTCTGAGCGTAACAAAAATGGAAGAAGATCATCGCGGCGGTAAAACGGAGGAGGTGAAATTCCGGGGAGTGAGGAAGCGGCCGTGGGGGAAGTACGGGGCGGAGATACGCGACTCCAACCGGAACGGCGCGCGCGTGTGGCTGGGGACGTTTGCCACGGCGGAGGAGGCGGCCAGGGCTTATGACAGGGCGGCGTACGCAATGAGGGGGAAGTTTGCGGTCCTCAACTTTCCCGGCGAGTATCCGCCTTCGTCGTCGCTGCAGCTGCGTGCTGCTGAGACTTCGCCGTCGCCGTCGACGTCTTCCGCCGCCGTGGTGGAGAATGCGGACAAGCAAACCACGAAAGAAGTGATCGAGATCGAATGTCTGGACGACAAGTTGTTAGAGGATCTGCTCGCCGATTGTCAGTAGACACAACCTATATAGTCGTTTTTGGTTTAAGTCAAATAACTTAGATTTATATATGACCGTAAGTATGTTACCGGAAAATCTAATATGAGAATAACATATAGTATTGTTTAAGTGTTTCAGCACAGAATATTCAGCCTGTCCCCCGAACTGAGGAGAGCTCAACTTATATCAAGTCTCTAACGGTAATAACATGCACAATGAGACATAATGACTAATGAAGAGTTGAGCCTTTATTTCTCTTTCTTCAATGGACACAGTAAATGACCCGTAATAATGTTTCCACCTGTTAAATTTATGCCTGGTGCCGAATCAGGTACCTATTAACAACCGGGGTCGGATGCTAGTCCTATTACTAATATATTTACTTTATTGTTGTCTTTTACCAGCTAAAATTACAAAACAGACTTATTCAAAACACACATACATTTGAATAGCAATTGCTAGATTTACGAACATTGCCATACAGAATCAGCAAGATTGTCTTTGACTTTGAATTGAGTCCACAACGTAACATCTGACGTGTTAAATGCAGTATATAAATGGCTTTTTTTTTCCTGAATTCTTTTCCATTATATTTCTTCAACATCCAAATGAAGTCAAAATACATTATATTATGTTAGCTTTTAGTGACGATAGTGATGATTCGAGCAAACTGACGACACTATTAATAATCGGTTAATAAAGAAGTTGTTATTGTAATCAATCAACAAGTGATGACTTCATTTACGCGGTTCGTTATCTTAATTAAGGTAATCATGTTTCTCCATTTAAAATATTTCAAAAAGGTTCCATTGACCATCTCAACTATTTGTTCGAAGTTTAAATTCCGTTTGATCCTTACTCTATGATTCTAGTTGACAAATAATCATGTCTAGGTTGCTCATAATTTTTCTACTCAAATCGAGAAGGCAAATTGACAGTTCTCACGGAAAGTCAAACTTAAAACATTGTGATTACCAAACTATCACTATGTGACCAACTTGATTAGAAACTTAGAGCTATCCCAAACTTTCGAAGAAGATTGTTGACTAGTCAAAATTCAAAAAATAAAGAAAGTAAACCCTATATCAACCAATGATCTACCTTTATACATGTTATTAGGGTGTAAATATCTCAACGAAGACATCATTATATTGTCCATTGGAACTCTTTATCATAGTTAAACCTTAATACCTCAAGACTTTGACTTTGATCAATTCCATTGAAGTCTTTTTTCATTATAATAATTTAAACAAAAAAAAAAAGAATATAAAATAATATATATTCGTCTCCCACTCTGTATTCACTGCACGCAGAAGGAGAGAAGACAGAAGTGACGTCATGCATCTGACATCACCCATAACCTCATTCTTGAAAACCTATGCATGCTGACGCCATGAGACATAGTCATGCATGCCACGGTTTATCGGATTAATCAGTGCCATAAAATATGATGCCATGACGCATCGATTTACAATATTTTGACACAACCACCGGTGTTACGGTGATTCCTTCCGAAATACAAGGAGTGTTTAGTAAATAGTTATTAACTGATTGAGATAGTGCTTGGATTTGACTGCTTGATATCATTAGCTGATTGTAAAAAAAGTTTGGTAAATTAGCTAGTATCAGATTATATGTAAAATGACTTTCTCAAAAAGTTTATTGAAAAAGTGATCTCAAACAACTTTTTGAATTTGAGTGTTTTGGTGCAATAAGTTGTTACAAAAAGCTAATTAGTCAAACACTTATAGAATGCTTAACCAAATAAAATATCTAATAGTAATTAAATAAATCAAAATGGACTGATAAGCTAACTATGTTATTAAATAAACGGACCCAAAATGAAATATAAGGTCGGACTCGTATTAATGTAATAAATTATTGTGATTCATACCCCAACCACCACACCCCACTCATCTAATAATCACTACTCTTGAGCCAGAAAATATGTTACCTCTCCGACATTCTCAATTATCTATTTATCTCGTGGATTTAAAAAAAAAAAAAAAAAAAAAAAAGTATATACTCAAGAGTAGTGCTCGCTGTCAATGGCCCTTTCATGTTTTCACAAGTAAATTGCACGCACTTGCTATGCACACGTCACCATAAATGTCGATCTCAAAATGCACCACGACCGGATACATATTTTTATTATTTTTACATTATAAAGTAATTTGAAAAAGTCCTAAACTACCAATAACCACGAGTCACCTATATTTGGATGTAGTCTTAAATTAAAATAAAAAAATGTCGATTCCAACTTTACTATTACACTAAAAACTATAACTAGAGATGCTGGACTCGGACTTCTCGTGACTTACTCTGTTACCTATCAAACACTTATAATTACTATATAGTAATTAAGACGCAATTTTATTTCATTATCTTACATAATAATCAGTTGTTGTTACATTTCTATAGCAGATGTTGTACTTGACCATTCAAACTTCCCGCCCAAGAGACCCATAACTAATTATTATGATCTTATCATATTCAATTCATAAAACAAAAACATTTAGTTGATCATTAAGGCATTTACTTCTCTTAACAGTAAACCGCATATTATATATCCAGCTACTACTAGCTTAATTATTAATTAAAAAACATGTCGTATAGGAGACAATGATTCATATATTTTTATAATGTTAATTATTAAAATTAATTACGTTGTTAATTATGGCTTGATTCAGTGGATGTTACTGACGATGAGGGCCACAGTACAATTATATTCTACTATAATATACTGCAGATTTCGCTGGGTATAAATGGTCGATAGCTCGAAGCAAAATTTAATTTGCAGGCCGCCGGCGTTTAAAAATGGAAGAAGCTCGCCGGAAAAACAGCGAGGAGGTGAAATACCGCGGCGTAAGGAAGCGGCCGTGGGGGAAGTACGGGGTGGAGATACGGGACTCTAACCGGAACGGCGTCCGCGTGTGGCTGGGAACGTATGACACGGCGGAGGAGGCGGCGAGAGCTTATGACAGAGCCGCCTACGAAATGAGGGGAAAGTTCGCCGTTCTCAACTTCCCCGGAGAGTATCCGTCGACGCTCAATGGTTCGTGTTCGCCGGCGACGCCGCCGGTGGGTAAGGGCTTTGTTGAAAAAGGAACGGCGAAAGAAGTGATCGAGTTTGAGTGCCTCGACGACAAGCTGTTAGAGGAGCTGCTCGCCGGCTAGTTGCCGGAACACAAGCAGTGGCGCCGTCTCCCGGAGATAATGGTGATAGCTGTAAATATTAACCGGCGATATGATCGGAATATTTTCAATTTTGTCACTAATATATATACAATCAAAAACTTGTGTAAGACTGTTCACCGGTCTCGAATTAGATATTTAATTAATAATGTCAAAGATTTGACCTGTCGCATGGATCAAGACCTGTGAGACAGTCTTACACAAATGTTTTTTTTATATAATGTCAAATATATATATTGTTAATATGTTTTTTTTTTTTTTAAAAGAAAATCATACCATAATATGTGGGCAAGTTTATGTTACTTTACTACCACGAATAAGCAAGAATATCCTTAATTGACTTTGAATTGAAATTCCCCTTTTTTTCCTTTTCACCAACTTTTAAATTTAATAAATACATTATTTATTATGTTAGTTTTTGGTGACGAAAGTGATGATTCAAGCAAGCTGACGACACTCTTCATAATCCATTAATTGTAATCCATCGTCAAATGATGATGACTTCATTTGCAGAATTTTCCTGCCTGCAGTGATTAGTAAATTTATTTTTTAAATATTTTTTTAAAAAAAATCTATGCCTCAATCGATTAAGGAAAACGATATATGAATTCTCATGGAATAAATTATCATGCTATAATTTTATTGATAAAGTAGAAAAAAAAAGTAATAAAAACTTTAATTTACTCTTTTTTAGAATACGCCACGTAAGTAGTGAGTGAAAATGAAGAAAAATTTTAAAATATGTTTAGCATTATAATAATAAAATAAATAAAAATAAAATAATATAAAAGATAGCAGCCTTTTCTAATTTGAAAGCTTCCATTTCAGTGGCAATAAAAATAGATTTTGAAATTGAAAAATGAATTTCATGTCAACTTGAAAGAGCTCCAATTGCAGGGATAAAAACAGCCTAAACATAAAGAAATCATCTCCAAAATAATAAATAAAACGATGTCCTAAAATCGGTTCAATGATTTTCTAAATTCACCTCTCATAAATGAAATAACACATTCTCTAAGGTTCAAATCATATTGAGCTTAATTGGTTGTGTCTGGTCACTCGAATCGAGGTTGAATATTGGCAAATTATGCTGTGCATCCGTATGCACCATGCATGGTGCATACGGATGTAAAAACGACACCGTTTTATTAAAAACGCGCGTCTTTCCTTAAAAAAAAAAAAAAAATCAGGTTCGATTCCCAGCAACAACATATGAACTAAAATTCCAGAATCGATGAACTATAATTCCATAATCGATGAACTATAATTTCATAATCTAATCTATGAACTAAAAATTCCAGAATGAATGAACTAAAGTTCCAGAATCTATGAACTAAAATTTCAGAATCGATGAACTACAATTCCAGAATTGATGAACTATAGTTCCATAATCAATGAACTAAAATTCCAGAATGAATGAACAACATAATGCTGTTGCTGGGAATCGAACATGAATTTTTTTTTTTTAAAGGGGAGACGCGCGTTTTTAATAAAACGACGTCGTTTTTGCATCCGTATGCACCATACATTGTGCATACGGATGCACAACATAACTACTCTTGAATATTAGACCGTCTCTATTCATTTATTATATATATAAATTATTGTAAACCACTCATTTTTGGGTAAATATATTGGCCCTAAGTTTTTAGTTGAACTCTTAATCTTATTGAAGTTTTATTAGCTCAAGACCTTGACTTAAATTCCATTGAAGCCTTTATAATTTAACCAAATATGGTCTATTCCTGTCCAAGTGTCCAAGTATGTATTAAAATTCTGGTTGACGAAGCATGGTGACGTCATGTGCCTCACCTCACCCATAACCTCATCCTTCTAAACCTATGCAAGCTGACGCGGCCAGACATCGTCATGCCATGATTCATCGGATTAATCAATATTTGTTTTTTGAAAATGGAACACAAGAAGCTATTAAGAAATTGTTTAATGATAATTAAGTTAGGTTAAATTAATTCTCATTTTGAGTTAATTAACTTTTATGATGGAGTTATAGTATACTGTTGTTTATCTTAAACATCCTGTCATAAGCGCTTTTACAGAGAAGTTAGTTGGTGTACGATAGTTATTCAGGATGAGAAGAGTTGTTCAAAGTGAAAAATGACTATTTAGTGTTGAAAAGAGTCATGCGTGAGTTACTTCAATTCTCCTCTACTCCGTCCTATGTTTTATTAGTGTCTAAGTCTTATTTATTGTCTTGCATTTTTAGTATTGTAATATTTTTAAGTGACGTTAAAAATGCGTAGTTGTTAACTAAGTGTGTGCACTGAAAAAAACTCTGCCTTATGACCTTAATCAGCAAAGGACCCCAAGGAATTAAAATAGCATTAATTGTTCATGACGAGGAAAGCTAATTCAATTCAATTCACAATCATAATCTCAGTACAATACAATAGGAAAAACTAATGTAGAGATCCCTATCTATCAGGATAGTCATAGTAGACTAACTCTCAACCACACCACACAAATAATAACTATAGGAATACAATAATAATAAGGCAAATAATAATATTGCTAATATTCATAACTGATCGACTCAAACCAAGAAGACCAATAGACCACTAGTATTGTAATTTATTGCGGGTATCTTTTATTGTCTGTAAGTTGGTTCTTGTAATCTTGGTCATTGTATTATCAATGAGTAATGCATTCTACTTAAACATTTTCAGCATCACTTCAGTAATTTCTATCTCATACTTTTGGAGATAGAGCCTTAACTTGATCAGTAAATCAGATCAGAGTATGTGACAATAACCAATAAAAGTAAGAAATTCGCGAGATTTTTTTAGATGTATACATGTATATGAATTTTAATGTTAATTTATCCATCACTACCTCAAGAATTTTGCTACACAATATGATAAAAACAACTTTTAATCCACATGTTGTGTCTTCTCCATCACTTTCTTAGGTAGTGGAGCATCCTACAACTTTTGCTCAATTTTAACTGGAATCAGCAGAATCAGATTTTGGAAAGGTAATCCAGCTGATTCCATTCCAGAATTTGCTGATCGGCCATGTGTTGTTTATTCCAAATTAATGTAGAATAATTTTTGTGTAAATCGTCCACCGTGTAATATTTTTTATGAGTTCATAAAAAAATACCATACTTTTTATAAAATGGACTCCGTAGAGATCCAACAAGAAACAATACTTACATCAGGCAATTTATATCTTACATCACGGTGCACGTTGCACTATGCGCCCAGATGCAAAACGACGTCGTTTTAATTATTTTTTTTTTTTTGAAATTTCCCGCCCCAGTGAATGGCAGTAGTTTTTTCTTTAAAAAAAAAACCCGCTGTTCAAGAATGTACATAATGTTATACTAGAATACACATAATGTTATACATGAATGTACATAATTATATAACAAAATATACATACTCTTTTTAAAAGATAATACACATAATCTAACATAATACATAAAAAACATAAACTTTTAACATAATACACATCAACTCTTAACATAATACACACAAATTTTCTGATTCGGATGTACATAATTGTATAAAAAGAATGTACATAATTGTATAAAAAATACACGTAACTGTATGAACCAATACACATAACGTTGTGAACAAATACACATAACGTTGTGAACAAATACACATAATCTCAGCAACTTCCTACCGCGCCTCCCAACACTACCCCAAAACGACGTCGTTTTGGGAGGCGCGCGGCGCACAGTGCTATGTGCGCCGTGGTGTAGGATATAACGATTGCTTACATCAACTTTGTAAGTGCAAAAGCCCATTAATGCCAAAAACTCGGTCCGGCCCATATCACCTGCATATCAGCACCTAGAAAATGTTATGCAATATAGTTTCGAGTGTGATTCTAATAATGGGACCAACCAATATTAAAAAAAATGAAAAAATAACTATATACTTGAGTAAAAGAGCAACCTCAATAGATTTAGATTTTTGTGGGCTTTTTTTACAGGCTATGTAGAAAAGATAAGCAAGTGAGAAGAGGAAAAAAGGGAGAAAAAAAAAAAAGAATAAATACTCAAAATGGCCCCTTGACTATAGCTAAATTCACGAGTTAATACCTAAAATAGTCCCTCAACTATGTCGTAATTACCAATTTGATCATCGACTATCATTCTTACCTAATTAAGTCCTCAACTATACAATTTTTACCCAATTTAGTCCTTTGTCAATTTGACTGTTTGTTGACTGTCAAAAGTGAAAATAAAGTTGTAATTTTACAAGTTTTCTCCTTCCTCCTCATTTAGCAGCGCCAAACCATGTAGCAATAAGCTCCGGTTGTGTTCTAAACCTGTCAGTATCGAAGTAGTGGTTATGCATCGGATAGCCCATGAATTTGATTTCCAACGATTTTTTGACGATCGAAATCTGATCGGAGTGTATTGCTGCATGGTTTGGCGCTGCTAAATGGAGAGGAAGGAGAAATCTTGTAAAATTATAATTTTATCCCGACTTTTGACAGTCAACAAACAGTCAAATTAATACAGAGGACTAAATTGGGTAAGAATTGTATAGTTGAGGACTAAATTGGGTAAGAATTGTATAGTTGAGGACTTAATTGAGTAAAAGTTACATAGTTGATGACTTAATTGGGTAAGAATGGTAGTTGAGGACCAAATTGGTAATTATGGCATAGTCGAGGGACCATTTTGGGTATTAATTCTAAATTCACAAATTGGTCACTGATTTTCCATTTCAACCAATTAAGTCCTTAACTTGTAATTTTGAAACGATTTGGTCTTCCATCTATTTGACCGTTTGTTGACCGCGATCTTTGAGGATATATATGTAGTTTCACGTGCAAAGCTCAAGAGAACGCTCTTGGAGGTGACATCGTTGTTTCGGAGGGGGAAGTGCTTCTCCGCTTACTGCTTGGGGATCACGAGCTGATTCAGCTTAGAGAACGCTCTTGGAGGTGACATCGCCGTTTCGGATGGGGGAAGTGCTTCCCCGCTTGGAGTCACGGCTTTCTCGAAGAGCCACTTCAGGGACTTCGGCGATCTATCTATCAAAAGCTATAATCTCTCCAGCAAG